TTTATTCTAAACTAATGAATGAATGCAAAAATAAATTCTAATACTAATGAAGGCTTGTTCTAAATAAATCAAGAATGAGAAAATAGATTCTAGGCTATGCTTTCCTCGGGATTATTCTAGCGAAGTTTCATATTCATTCAAACCTTATTTAATTCTACCAATCGTAGGGATAATCGCTAAAGTAATTTACACCTTTCTCTCGAACAAGTTAAATCGTAGATATTAATTGCTATCTATCTCCTCTCGGTCTCAAGATGAACAACTAACTCCCATAAGCTCCTAAGATTCTAGTTCCCTCGCAAGATTCTATCAACCTCTCGGTTTGTTTAGTCTCTTACGTTATGAATTTCTCAATTCTAGCAATTAACTATCTCCTCTCGGTCTCAAGTCAATCACAAATATGCATAAATACGGGCTCTATATTCACACCATTCATATAATCACAAGAAACTGAAAAATGAAAGATAGACCGGACTGAATAAACAAAATTACTTCATAAAATAATCCGAGTACTCGCAAATCCTAGAATCTCAAAGAGATTTAGCTACTAAACATATTCTCAATACTCAAAATAAATAAATCCATGAGTTCAATAAGAAGAAAAAGAGAAAAGAAAGAAGAATATTGTTGCCGTTAGTTCCCGGATCTTCAATCTTGACTTCCTCGAATCCCTCATGTGTTTCGTGCTTTCTCCAGGCCTCCAATGGTGTCAAAAGTCCCAAAACCGTGTTTTTTATGTTCCTTATATATTGTAGGGCAAATATGGGTTGAAAAAGGGATCAAATCGCGCAGGTTTCCTATTTTCCGCTGGTTTAACTGCGCGTCACACGACTCGTGTCACAAGCCACACGAGTCGTGTGACTTGTCTTCAATTTTCGGCAAAGTTCCAGGTTCACACGAGCACCCCACACGAGACGTCACACGAGTCGTGTGAGCCCACACGACTCATGTCATGGGCCACACGACTCGTGTGGTAAAGCCGCACCAAAACTTTGATTTTTCTCACCCCACACGACTCGTGTCACGATCCACACGAGTCGTGTGACCTGTCTGCACCTTATTTTTGTCGTTTTTTCATCCCGATTCCATCTTTAACGCTTTTTCGGGCATATTTTCTGCAAAACCAACGACAAATATACCTCCATCATAGATTAATAAATCAAACAAAATGGTGCACAATCTCACGATAAACACGGTTAAACATCACACTATATCACTCATAATGCATGAAAATATGATGAATGTCAACTCCCCCAAACTTAAACCCTTGCTCGTCCCCGAACAAGAACAAGAAAATCAAAACTCAAGCATAATGAGTGATATCAACTAGAACAGCTTCAAGTACTTCAATACAACCAAGATAAATTCAAGTGATCATAACTATCATGCTTTCGACTACTTTCTTGTGTTTACCTTGAATCAGCGAACCCTCAAATAGGAATAATATAAGTGCCTCACTCACATGTTATAAATATGGAATGATACACTCAAGTCAAATCAAACACCCGGTTAACTATATGTTTGCCAATCATCTAACACCCTACTTCAAACACAACTAGTAATTATGAGCTTTAAATCAAAAGGTCTTCTCGGGTTGTAACGTAGGCTATTTGGTCAAAGGTAGGATATATATGGGTAAAGTGGCTCCAATAAACAAACATACCATTCGAGTAAATAGACTACTCGACTATTACGCTACTCATCCCTAAACAACATCAGTGTTTCTCATCCCCAAACAAAAATAATCCATACACAACTCATAAATGCTCAAATCGAATCACAAGAGAGTACTTGACCGTTTTTTTTTTCGCTTTTTTTCTTCTTCTTTTTTTTTTCAAGGGGGGTTTACTTCTTCCAAACAAGATCAAACCGTAAGGACAACATTCCCTAGATATAAACATTGGAGGTCATCCAAGTATCCTAGAGTAGTTTTCCATACTCATTACTTGTCAAACTTAATCAACTCGTAAGAAGAGTAGAATCCCGACAGTTCGACTTGCGAGCTCCCTTTATTATCATTTTTTTTTCTTTTTCTTTTTCTTTTTTTTTCTTTTTTAAACGGTCAAGCACCTTAAACGCGACTCAATCACGCCGCATTCCATATCCAATCATTCAATAAATAACACCGCTATCCCAATACATTCCAAACAATAGTCAACTCTTCAACATAAACAAGACAATCTGGTCGACAAGAAAAGGGGCGTAAGGCTCAAACGCTACTAGTGAAAAATATTTTTAAGGACAATGAAACAAGGCCAAACGAGCTAAATCAAAAACCACCTAAATCATTTTTAAAGCTCATAATCAGCAATGCATTTTTTCAAGTGAGAATCAAGGCAAATTCCAATAACTCGGACATTCAATTTGACACACACAACAAGGAATAAAGGCTCAAGTCTCACTAGGCTCATTATATCGCTAATTCACGGGGCACAAGCATTTTCATCTAGGCATGACAAATCACAACCCATCACAATCTCTCGATCACATCAAATTACCATCCAGCATTCAAGTTATACATCCCATCAAATCAAAAGCACAAAATACACGAGAGATAGACTCCAAATAAAACCTACTCCTAGAAAGAAAATAAACGTGCAAATAAATACATAAAAAGTAAAATAAACTAATGCAACCTATATGCAATGCAAGATACCGGGATAAGAACCTAAGATATGCCGCACCCCTCCCCCAAACTTATTCTTTCGAGAAAGAACAAATATGAAAGAGAAAGTGGTATATCTTAGGGGACTAACTTCCTGAAATCACGGCTGAGGAGGGGGAAAATGTCCATCGTGTCGCTGCATCCAGTCAAATATCTGCTGGAAGCCGCTCGTCATCCGCTCCTCAATCCGCTGGTAGCCGCTATCCATCCTCTGCTCCAGCCGAGCCGTAGACGCACGGTTCTCATCCCTCAAACCCCGTACGTCTGTCATCAGCATGCGCATATCCTGCTCGAGCATCTCCATCCTCTAATCCATGTCAGGCTCTCGACGACGACGCCTCTGCCTCTGCTGCTGCTGCCGCTGCTCAGATGCTCTGGAGGACTCCGGTATGTCCTCGTGTGGTCCCGGTTGCTCAGGTCTTGAACCATCTCCCACATACTGCACAAGAGCACCTACATCCTCGCCCTCGAAGGCTGCTATCACATTCTCCTCCTCATCCTCGACTGCTCAGTCAGCCGGATTCAGCCGCGGGGCGAGTCTCCGAAGATCCCCCACTACCGGTCTCTCCGCTATGGCTCGTGTGTGCTCGGGGGTATCCATCTTCAAATTTCTCTCACTGTGGAGCCCCGTCAACTGTGGGTAGGGGAGAGGAAAATAGTCGGGCAGAAGCTTCTGTACGAAGAACATCTGACCTCGCAGATCAGTCCTCAAATAGTTCATGTGAACCAGGGCCGCCAAATCTAGCGAATCCTCTCCCCTGACTCGCTCCCATCCGGCGTAGTCAATCTTCAGATTGTCGGCGATCATCGTCACGGCCCCACCACACCGGAGTATGTCTGACCATCCTCGACTCATACGGCACAAGTGCTCGCCGACGAACCGTCCTAACCCGGGCTTCCTCTGCTCCATCAAACTCCAAAGAATGAAGGCTTCAGTCTTCGTGACCGTCCCACTCTCCTTCCTAGCGAACAACGTACTCGCAATCACCCAGTGCACATAACGGAGCACCGGGTTACGGATGTCCGCTGCCTTCACTGACCCTCGGGCAAACTGGAACGGTCCTCCTCCTCCAGAACTCAGCGTAATGGACCGCCAGAACCCCGACTCGTCATACATACTCATGTCTATGAAAACCCCTCGTCCTCCAAAACATGCATTGAGCCCCGCTTCATCGAGACTCCAATCTTGATTGTTCAACCGGAAGGTGATACTCTCCAACTGGTTGGTCATCGCCCTTTTCTGCTTCTCCACGGTGCTCAAGAACTCGAGCACCATCCTCCTATAAGTCCCCGGTCGAGTACCGAAGACTCCAGCCAACCCGATCATGTTCCAAAGAGGCCTCACCGCCTCATGTATGCCAATCGCTCGCTCGGTGGCCTCATCCGGATATCGTGTAGTCCTTATCGCCATCTTTGCGAGTCGGGTCCATCTCTCTCTCTCTGCCAGTCGTGCGGCAGTATAACTCCCAACTCGCTCCCGGGAGTCGCTTCGGCCTCGACATTCTCAATTACTCGCGCTCGTGGATTATTCGGTGGAGGAGGGTTCGGTGGACGGTTAGCACGAGGTGGGACACCGGCACCCCCGCTATTCCTTGTTTGCCTACGATTGGTCATTTTGTACCTACATTTGCAAATTCAATATATCAACTTCAATATCAATAATCAAACCACAAGAAATCCATCAAAGTCAAAACTCACATTATAACATTCTCCATAACTTATCATCCTAAAAATCCAATTCCAAACAAGTCCCAAAAAGAGAGCAAATGTCATCAATATTATCCACACAAATCAACAAAATTCATAACATATCATCAACCCTCCTACACATCACAAACTCACAAAACCGTCACTCTTCCGTAATCACAACACCAATCACTTGTATGTCACATAAATCACAAACCACAAGCATGAGCCAAAAGGAGAATTTCATATCATTAAACTCAAATGCTACTTCAAGTAATTCATCAAAAAGTCATCCAACTACAATCACTAGCCCAAGCAATTCAACACAACTTCACCAAATAACATCAACTCTCCAATAATTCCACGTATTCATCACAAATTCACACAAATATGCTCAAGGTTAAGAACAATAGCAAATAAGCTCAAAATTTACTTCATGTTATGCTATACATCACTCCCTTTCTCATACATAACAATTATCATGAAAAATCATATGAAAAAGAGGGCAAATTCATCAAAAGAGTCACGCACATGAGGTGTTCGATGAAATTCCTCAACAAGTTCTTAACCCTAACATCAAGTTAATGCTCAAAACACATCACCCATACCTCAAATCGACGTCCAAAATCTAAAACTACAAGAGATGGGAAGAAAATTCGTACCTTTGATGATGAATTCGAGCAAAATCCGAAATAACAAACCCTAAGTATGATAACACCGAATTTCTTCTCTTTCTCAAGAAATTTTCATAAGTAAGAGATGAGATGGTGTGTTGTGCGTGAATATGTGATGAATTTCGAGCAAGAATTAGCAAAAGAAGTCGAAATTGTAGAGAGATTTGAGAGAGACGAGAGAGGCACGAGAGAGAGAGGCGAGAGACGTGTCGTGTGGGAGAGAAAGTGAAGAAGAAATTTTTTTTAAAGCTTCCCAGGCGTCACACGACCCGTGTCCACAAGACACCCGAGCCGTGTGACGCTATTAAAATTTCGCAAAAAAATCGCCCAGGGTCACACGACCCGTGTCCACCAATCACACGACCCGTGTCACCTGCTCACACGGGTCGTGTGACAAAGCCGTAGCCACACTTCGAAATTCATCTTTTTTCCCCAGGTCACACGAGCCATGTCACTGGGCCACACGACCCGTGTGGACCTGGGATTTTTTTTTTTTAAGCTAAAATTAAAAATGAAACTAAGCCTATTCTAAAGAAAAACTATACACTAAATCATTGGGTTGCCTCCCAATAAGCGCTTAATTTAACGTCTTTAGCTAGACGAATACCTGACAGACCTTTAGTCATTCAAATAGACGATAAAGATCGTCTTGGCTTGCTCCGGGCTGAAGTATGGCTTAATCCGCTGAGCATTCACCATGAATGTAGTGCCGTCACTTACCGCCAATTCCACGGCTCCATTTGTCATCATCTTCGTGATCACGAACGGTCCAGACCACCTCGACTTGAACTTGCCGGGAAAGAGTCTGAGTCGCGAATTGAAGAGCAGAACTTGTTCACCTTCAGCAAATTCTCGCTTCCTAATCAATTTGTCATGATATCTCTTCGTCTTCTCCTTGTAGATACGAGAACTCTTATACGCCTCTATGCGAAACTTGTCCAATTCGTTGAGCTGCAACTTCCTTTCGAGCCCGGCTTTTTCAAAGTCGAGATTAATCTTCCTCATAGCCCAATATGCCCTGTGCTCCAATTCAACAGGCAAGTGACATGATTTACCAAATACCAATTGATATGGGGACATACCTAGAGGAGTCTTGTACGCCGTCCGATAAGCCCAAAGTGCTTCGTTGAGGTGATTCACCTAATCCTTACGACTTCCAATGACCTTCTCGAGCACTTGCTTGATCTCTCGATTAGCCAAATCGGCTTGCCCATTAGCTTGTGGATGGTATGCCGTCGTCACTTTATGCTTCACTCCATACTTGGCAAGGAGACTTCCAAGCCACTTATTACAAAAGTGCGACCCACCATCGCTAATCAATGCTCTCGGAGTCCCAAAGCGTGTAAGGATATTCGCTCTCAAAAATTTCAGCACCTCCTTAGCATCATTCGTCTTGGTTGGCGTCGCCTCAACCTATCTCGAAACATAGTCCACTGCCAAAAGAATATACTTGGACCCATAAGACACCGGGAAAGGTCCCATAAATCCGATCCCCCATACGTCAAAGAGTTCCACCTCAATGATGTTGGTGAGGGGCATCTCATCTCGCCTAGAAATTCCTCCCGTCCGTTGGCACCTATCACAAGATAACACGAACCGGTGACAATCTTTATAAATGGACGGCCAATAGAAGCCGCTTTGCAACACCTTGATGGCGGTTCGGTTTCCCGCGAAGTGACCTCCACCCGGTGATGAATGACATTGCCTCATGATTTCTCCCCATTCCTCTTCGGGGACACATCTTCTAATAACCATGTCCGCGCACCTCCAGAATAGATACGGCTCGTCCCAATAGTAGAACTTCACATCATGAAAGAATTTCTTCCTCGCATAATAGGACAAATCCGGAGATGGTACGCTCGACACCAAGTAATTCACATAATCGGCGTACCAAGGTAGGTGGGCCCGAACGTGCATCATGTGTTCATCCGGAAAATCTTCATTAATAGGGACCAACCGATCATCCCCTTCAACTGGGCCCTCCAACCGAGATAAATGATCCGCCACAACATTCTCGCATCTCTTCCGGTCCCGAATTTCTAGATCAAACTCTTGAAGTAAGAGCACCCATCGAATCAATCTTGGCTTGGCATCCTTCTTCGCCATGAGGCGTCGAATTGCCGCATGATCGGTAAACACGATTGTCTTCGTCCCAACAAGGTAGGGTCGAAACTTGTCAAACGCATACACCACCGCTAGCATCTCTTTCTCCGTAGTCGTGTAATTTACTTGAGCTGGATCCAACGTCTTGCTCGCATAATAAATCACTCGAAAGAGTTTATCTCGCTTTTGGCCCAAAGCGACCCCCACGGCTACATCACTCGCATCGCACATCAACTCGAACGGTTGCTCCCAATCCGGCACGATCAAAATATGAGCACTAACAAGGGACTTCTTCAATGTCTCAAAAGCCTGCAAACACTTCTCACTAAAATCAAATGCAACATCTTTTTCTAACAATACACTAAGAGGTTTAGCAATTTTAGCAAAATCACGAATGAACCTCCTATAAAATCCCGCATGACCCAAGAAACTCCTTACCGACTTCACGTTTGTAGGAGGTGGAAGTTTTTCAATGGCAACAATATTTGCCCGATCTACCTCAAGCCCGGCGGAAGACACGCGATGCCCAAGAACTATACCTTCCTTCACCATAAAGTGACATTTCTCCCAATTTAAAACAAGGTTAGTTTCTTCACATCGCTGCAACACTCGAGATAAATTAGCCAAGCAATTATCAAATGAAGTACCAAACACCGAAAAATCATCCATAAACACCTCCATAATATTCTCAATTAAATCATGACAAATTGCCATCATACATCTTTGGAAGGTAGCAGGTGCATTACATAAACCAAAAGGCATCCTACGATAAGCAAAAACACCATAAGGACATGTAAAAGTCGTCTTCTCTTGGTCTTCCGGAGCTATCAAAATTTGATTGTATCCGGAATAACCATCAAGAAAACAATAAAAATCATAACCCGCTCTATCAAGCATTTGATCCACAAAAGGCAAAGGGAAGTGATCCTTACGAGTAGCGGCATTTAATTTACGATAATCAATACAAAAACGCCAACCTGTCAAAAGCCTAGTAGCAACAACACCATCATGCTCATCTTTTACAATAGTCATCCCCCCTTTTTTAGCCACAAATTGTGTAGGACTAACCCATTCACTATCAGAAATAGCAAAAATCATCCCCGCATCTAACAATTTAAGGACCTCTTTTCTTACTACTTCTTGCACAATTGGATTTAGCCTACGTTGATTTTGAACACATGGCTTATAATTATCCTCAAGAAAAATTCTATGCATGCAAATAGAGGGACTAATACCTTTTAAATCACTAATCGACCAACCAATCGCCGATTTATGCCCTCTTAAGACTCTCAATAATCTCTCAAGCTCCGAATTAGAAAGGTAAGAAGAAACGATTACCGGAAACGTGTCATTCTCTTCAAGATATGCATACTTCAAGTGCTCCGGTAAAGGTTTCAACTCTAACTTCGGGACTCCATCTTTCTTTTCTCCTTGACTTGCACTTGGTCCCGGCTCATCACGTCTCAACTCCAAAAATGCGGCCTGCCTCTTCGGGATTTCCCTACAAGAATCCAACACATTAACACATTTAAATAATTTTTCTTGAAAAGGATCAAACAAAGAAGAAGAAAATAATGATTTTTGAACACATAGATCAAAAGGGTCTCTAGACGAAGAAGTAATCATGTCATTGTCGAAGGAAGCCTCGACAACTTCAATCACTTTACATTCTTCGATCTCACCATCCTCATTATTATTCTTCATCACTTGATATATAGAAAATGTGATGCTCTCTTCATCAACCCGGAGAGTAAGCTCGCCATTCTTCACATCAATCAACGCTCCCTCGGTTGCAAGAAACGGACGACCCAATATTAGTGGAACCTCCTTATCTTCCTCCATGTCAAGGACCACAAAATCAGCCGGGAAGATAAACCCCTCGACTTTCACCAATACGTCTTTCACAATCCCCTTCGGATAAGACAAGGATCTATCCGCCATTTGCAATGCAATCGTAGTGGGCCTAATCGTCCCAATCTCCAACCTCTTGAAAATTGATAGTGGCATGAGATTGATGCTTGCTCCCAAGTCGCACAACACCTTCTCGAACCGCTTTCCTCCTATAATGCATGCTATTGTGAAGCTCCCGAGATCCTTGCGTTTGAAAGGCATCTTCTTTTGGATCATAGCACTACACTCCTCCGTCAAATTCACCTTCTCATACGCTTTGAGCTTCTTCTTCCTAGATAATATGTCCTTCAAGAACTTGGCATATTTGGGCATCTCCTGCAATGCATCAACAAGCGGAATATTTATTTGAACTTTAGTAAATATTACACGAAATTTGGCATATTGTTCGTCAATTTTTTTCTTTGCAAAACGTTGAGGAAAAGGTAAAGGAATATTAGGAGTAGAAGTGTTAGAAGTAGATTTTGGCTTCTCAGCCCCTGTAATTGCCGATTTTGGGGGCTCCACTACTACTTCCTCAACTTCTTCCTCTTCTTTGCTTTCCTCAGGCTCGACTTTTCCCGGCTCATTAGTTGGAATCCTCGGTCCCTCATACTCCAAGCCACTCCTTAGATGGATGGCTTTGCATTGTTCCTTCGGATTCACCTCTGTGTTGCTCAGAAATTGTCCCCTCTGCTGTAGACTTGCAACTGTCGTGGCCAACTATCCAATTTGTTGTTCCATTGACTTCATTTCCTTCTCCAAGGTAGAGTGCTTAGCCTAAGATTCGCCCATGAATTGTTGCGTTTGAGTCATGAACGAGGCGAACATATCTTCGATTGTCGGCTTCTTCGGCTCATTGATGACCCCGTTGGTCACCGAAAATCCGGGAGGTGGTTGTAGAGCATTATTCGGATTTGCATATGATAAACTGGGGTGATTCCGGTTGCCTTGGTAATAAGTGTTCCCTGCTTGAGTTCCTCGAAAATTCCCAAAATTCCGATTATTCACATAATTCACGTCCTCGACCGGTTCCCCAACTCCTAAGCTCTCAGCCTTTCCCCCTTTCATGTTGTTTATCACCAATGCTGCTATTTGAGCCGCCATCGAAGCGGCTGAGTCCGCCTCATTCGTAGCCGCCACTCTCTTGAGCATAGTCCTCTCAACCGGCCACTGATAGCTATTCGATGCCATCTTCTCAAGAATTCGCTTCGCGTCATTCGGTCGCCTTCCCAAAAGGGCACCTCCAGCTGAGGCGTCCACCATAGCCTTCATCGGGCCACTCAATCCATTATATAAATAGCAAATTTGGTGCTCCTCTGAAAATCCATGCTATGGGCACGTCCGAAGGAGTTGCGTGTAACGCTTCCAGGCCTCGTATAAAGGCTCACCATCTTTTTGCTTGAATTGAGTGATCTCCGTCTGAAGTCTCAACATCTTACTCGGTGGGAAGAACTTCAAGAGAAATTTCTGACGCATCTCATCCCATGTTGTCACTGTCCCGGCCTCAAGAGAATTGTACCACACCTTGGCTTTATCTCTAAGAGAGAAAGAGAAAAGCCTAAGCCGGGATAGCGTCCTCTGGGACTCCATTGTACTTCACTGTACCACATATCTCCAGAAATTGCGCCAGATGCGCATTCGGGGCCTTGATTGCAGCTCCCCCAAACTGCTCTTGCTGCACCATTCGAATCAAGGACGGGCTATACTCAAAAGTATTAGCTGCAATTCTCGGCCCGTGACCTCCTCCATATACTTGATCAGCATGAGGTTGGAAGATGTTTCGAACCGGTGTTCCTGGCTCTTGTTGAGCCTGCTACGCAGCTAATTGGCGTTGTAGCTCCGCCATTTGTGCCTCGAGCTGTCTATACCTCTCTTCACCTTGTTCCTCCATTGCACTTCTCAGTCGTTGTTGTAGTCTCCGATTTGCGTTGTTCCTTCGACAACTAGCTTCAATCTCGGGATCAAATTTCGCGGGTGAATTCCCACTAGACCTCGTAATCATGCACGTGCCTGTCAAAACACACAAACCAAAAAGGATGCAATTAAGAACCAAAGTATTAAACAAAAATAAAAATGACAAAAGTAATATCTACCCGTCTTCTTCTAATATTAATTAATTTTAACAAAACAATCCCCGACAACGGCGCCAAAAACTTGTTCGAAAAATATTTTTACTACCCGCAAGCGTACGGAGTAGCTGCAGAAAGCGGCGAGCAAGGTCGTATTCCACAGAGATTGTTGTTAAACTAATTAAGTACCAAAATATCGACGATTAAATATTATCTAGACTAATGCAAATTCGATTGGAGTTTTTATTCTAAACTAATGAATGAATGCAAAAATAAATTCTAATACTAATGAAGGCTTGTTCTAAATAAATCAAGAATGAGAAAATAGATTCTAGGCTATGCTTTCCTCGGGAATATTCTAGCGAAGTTTTCATATTCATTCAAACCTTATTTAATTCTACCAATCGTAGGGATAATCGCTAAAGTAATTTACACCTTTCTCTCGAACAAGTTAAATCGTAGATATTAATTGCTATCTATCTCCTCTCGGTCTCAAGATGAACAACTAACTCCCATAAGCTCCTAAGATTCTAGTTCCCTCGCAAGATTCTATCAACCTCTCGGTCTGTTTAGTCTCTTACGTTATGAATTTCTCAATTCTAGCAATTAACTATCTCCTCTCGGTCTCATGTCAATCACAAATATGCATAAATACGGGCCCTATATTCACACAATTCATATAATCACAAGAAACTGAAAAACGAAAGATAGACCGGAATGAATAAACAAAATTACTTTATAAAATAATCTGAGTACTCGCAAATCCTAGAATCTCAAAGAAATTTAGCTACTAAACATATTCTCAATACTAAAAATAAATAAATCCATGAGTTCAATGAAGAAGAAAAAGAGAAAAGAAAGAAGAACTATTGTTGCCGTTAGTTCCCGGATCATCAATCTTGACTTCCTCGAATCCCTCGTGTGTTTCCTGCTTTCTCCAGGCCTCCAATGGTGTCAAAAGTCCCAAAACCGTGTTCTTTATGTTCCTTATATATTGTAGGGCAAATATGGGTTGAAAAAGGGATCAAATCGCGCAGGTTTTCTATTTTCCGCTGGTTTAACTGCGCGTCACACGACTCGTGTCACAAGCCACACGAGTCGTGTGACTTGTCTTCAATTTTCGGCAAAGTTCCAGGTTCACACGAGCACCCCACACGAGACGTCACACGAGTCGTGTGAGCCAACACGACTCGTGTCATGGGCCACACGACTCGTGTGGTAAAGCCGCACCAAAACTTAGATTTTTCTCACCCCACACGACTCGTGTCACGATCCACACGAGTCGTGTGACCTGTCTGCACCTTATTTTCGTCGTTTTTTCGTCCCGATTCCATCTTTAACGCTTTTTCGGGCATATTTCCTGCAAAACCAACGACAATTATACCTCCATCATAGATTAATAAATCAAACAAAATGGTGCACAATCCCACGATAAACACGGTTAAACATCACACTATATCACTCATAATGCATGAAAATATGATGAATGTCAGTGATAACGACGGAGGTTGCAGGTTTTGTTGTGAAGAGGGTGTTCATCGACACGGGAAGTTCGGTCGATGTGATGTTCTATGATTGCTTTGCGCAGATCAATAAACATTTGAACTTGGAGTTGAAGCCGGTGGCAACGAATTTGTATGGTTTTAATGGGGGCGAGGTGATGCCGATGGGAGAGGTGAGCTTGACGGTGGCGTTGGGGTCAGGAGATACTTGGAAGGTGCGGATGGTGAGATTTTTGGTCGTTGGGGCAGAATCATCATACAATATCATTTTGGGCAGGACATGGCTGAATGCATTCTAGGCGGTCATGTCGACGTACCACATGACGATCAAATATCCGGTGGGAGAAAATGTGAGCGACATCGCGAGAGATCAGCTTACATCGAGGAGCTGCTATAAAACGACTGTGAGAAATAATAGGCAGCTGGCGAGAAAACAAATGAAGGGCAGCGAGGAGGTGCTGGATCGACCAGGTGGTTCAAGGTCGAAGGAGGAGAGAAATGAGCAAGATAGAGGGAAAGGGAAGGTGGACATGCAGCCTGGTGGATAGATCGAGGAGATTCAGATGGTGCAAGGCTATGATGATCAAAAATTCATAATTGGAAAGGAGTTGGAGGAGCCTAGATCGAGGTTGGTTGGGCTGATAAGGGAGTTTGCGGATAACTTTGCCTACACGGCGGAGGAGTTAATGGGGATTTATGCGAAGGTGATCGAGCACAAGCTGAATATCGACCTCAGTGTGAGACCGGTAAAGCAAAAGAGGAGGCACCATGGTGTAGAGATGGACAAGGTGATCGAGCAGGAGGTCGAGAAGTTGTTGAAGGCAAGTCACATCAAAGAGATCTAATTTCCTGAATGGTTGTGCAATACGGTGTTGGTGTCGAAATCGGAGGACAAGTGGAGGATGTGTATCGATTTCCGTGACTTAAACAAGGCGTGTCTGAAGAATTTATACCCGCTGTTGAGGATCAACTAACTCGTAGATTCTACGGCAGGGTGTGAGTTACTCAGTTTGATGGATGCTTCCCAGGGGTATCACCAAATCCCCTTAGGTTGAGAAGATAGGAAGAGAGTGAGATTTATAACGAGCAAAGGTACTTATTGTTATGTGGTGATGCCATTCGGCCTGAAGAACGTGGGGCGACATATCAAAGGTTGGTCGATCAAATCTTCAGGGACCATTTCGAGAGTAATATGGAGGTCTATGTCGATGATATGCTCGTGAAGAGCAGAGTGGAGGCTGACCATGTGGGGGATTTGAGAGAGACATTCCGAACATTGAAAAGGTATGTCATGAAACTTAATCCTGCTAAGTGTTCTTTTGGTACAAAGGCGGGGAAGTTCTTGGGATATATGGTGACAAAGCGAGGAATCGAGGTGAACCCGGAGAAAGTTCGAGCAGTGGTCGAGATGAAACCACTAGTGATGGGACAAAGATGTCACCCGGGCTCCCTCGACTCGGACGGCCATCGTACCTGTAAAAACCCAAATTCCGGGACCCCGGGAGGGGTGCCCGGCTTTGGGCCTACGATGCTTAAGTCAGTACTGGATTCATATGAGAATGCATAGAGAGAGAGTGGGGAGAGAGTGTAGAGAGAGAGTGTAGTAATGGGATGAGGAGAGAATGAAGGAAATGAGTACCTTCTCCCCCTTTTTATAGGGGGAGTGCACCTTATAGTCCACGTAGGGCCTGACCTAGGTTGAGCTCAGCCCATATTATCATATCAAGTGTCTTAGCCTATGTATAGGCGTATTCTTCAATATATATCCCTAAAAACCGGTCATATACGATATGCTATATCAGATATTACCGGTCGAGCTGACAGTACTAGCCGTGGCTATATCATCTAGTCCTCTCCACTCTGGTCGAGTGAGCATAACTCGATCCAAGAGAAAAATAGAGCAAATCGCCGCTGAAGTTAACATTGAACACCGAATGGTCGTAGAGGTCGAAGGTTA